TTTCATGCAGGAAACATAACCTTGATACCGAAAACAGGCAAAGACATCAATAGAAAGAAAAACTACAGACCTGTATCTCTCATGAATATAGATGCAAAAACCTTCAAAATCCTAGCCAATAGACTCCAACAACATATCAAAAAAATAATTCATTATGATCAAGTGGGGTTCATACCAGGTATACAAGGATGGTTCAACATTAGAAAAAAAATCAATGTCATCCATCACATAAATAAAACAAAGGAAAAGAACCCCATGATCATATCATTTGATGCAGAAAAGGCATTTGATAAAATCCAACACCAATTCCTGATAAAAATTCTCAGCAAAATAGGAATAGAAGGGATATTCCTCAACATAATAAAGAGCATGTATGCAAAACCAACAGCCCACATTATTCTTGATGGAGAAAGACTGAAACCAGTCCCCTTGAGAACAGGAATCAGACAAAGATGCCCTCTACCACCACTTCTATTCAACATTGTATTGAAAGTCCTAGCTAGGGCAGTAAGGCAAGAAAGGGAAATCAAAGATATTCACATTGGTAAGGAAGAAGTCAAACTATCCCTATTTGCTGATGATATGATTCTATACCTAGAAAACCCAAGAGACTCAGAAAAAAACTACTGAAACTAATTGAGAGATTTAGCATCATGGCAGGATACAAGATCAACATACAAAAATCAGTTGGATTCCTCTACACCAGCAAAGAGATTGCTGAAAAGGAAATAAGGAAATCAATACCATTTACAATACCAAAAAAAAAAAAAAAACTCACTGCCATTGAGTCGGATCCAACTCACGGCGACCCCTCCTTGGGTATCTGAGGCAGTATCACTATGGAAGTAATTGCCTAATCTTTCTTTCAAGGAGTGGCTGGTGAGTTTGAACCGCCAGCCTTCTGGTTAGCAGTCAAATGCCTTAGGCACTACACCACAAGAACTCCCACCATTTACAATAGCTACCAGAAAAATAAAATATTTGAGAATAAATCTCACTAGGGACACAAAAGACCTGTACAAAGAAAACTACAAAACACTACTTCATGAAACCATAAGAGATCTACATGAATGGAAGAACATACCATGCTTGTGGATAGGAAGATTGAACAAGATGAAAATGTCAATTCTAACCAAAGATCTATACATCCAGTGCAATCCCAATCCAGATCCCTTCAACATTCTTTAAGGATATGGAAAAACCAATCACTAATTTTATATGGAAAGGAAAGGAAGATAAGCAAAACACTACTGAAGAAGAACAAAGTAGGAGGTCTCGCACTGCCAGATCTCAAAACTTACTATACAGCCACAGGAGTCCGAACTGCCTGGTATTTGTACAACAGACCCATAGGCCAGTGGAACAGAATTGAGAACCCAGAAATAGATCCATCGACCTATGGTCAGCTGATTTTTGACAAAGAGCTGCAATCCATTACATAAGAAGAGATTGTCTGTTTAACATACAGTGCTGGCAAAACTGGATATCCATTTGCAGAAAAATTAAATAAGATCTGTACTTCACAACATACACAAAAAACTAACTCCAGATGGATCAAAGGCTTAAATGTGAAACCCAAAACTATAAAGTTCCTCAAGGAAAAATTAGGGGCAAATTTAGAAGCCCTAATATATGGCATAAACAGACTATCAAGCATAACTCAAAATGCACAAACAGCAGAAGATAAACTAGATGAATGGGATCTTCTAAAAATTAAATTTTTATGTGCTTCCAAAGACTTCTCCAGAAGAGTCAAAAGAGAACCTACAGATTGGGAAAAAATATTTGGCAATGACATATCTGACAAGGGACTTATCTCTAAAATTTATAGAAAACCCCAATACCACAACAACAAAAAGACAAACAATCCAATTAAGAAATGGGCAGAAGACATGAACAGACACTTCACCAAAGAGGACATTCAGGTGGCCAACAAACACATGAAGAAATGTTCATGATCATTAGCCATAGAGAGATGCAAATCAAAGCAACGTGAGACACAATCTTGCCCCAGCACTAACAGCAAAGTTCAACAGGACAGAAAATAACAAATGTTGGTGAGGATATGGAGAGATTGGAACTTTCATACACTGCTGATGGAACTGTCAAATGTTACAGCCACTGTGGAAAGCAGTATGGTGATTCCTTTAAAAGTTGGAATTAGAAATATCATTTGACCCAGCAATCCCATCACTAGGTATATATCCTAAAGAAGTGAGAACCAGGACAAGAGCAGATATATGCAACCCATGTTCATCCAGCACTATTTACAATAGCAAAAAGATGGAATCAAAGTAGGTGCCCATTAACAGAAGAATAGATAATCAAACTATGGTACAGTCACACAATGGAATACTATGCAATACTAAAGAATAATGTAGAATCTGAAAACCACCATGTAACATAGATGAACTTGGAAGACATTATGCTGAGTGAAATAAGTCAATCACAGAAGAACAAGTATTGTAGCAGTTCATTATTGTTTATATATGGAAGGAAACTTTCTTTGTTGGTTACAAGAGAGGGGAGGGAAGGAAACACTGCAAAAGTCAATGTGTATATTCAAAAATTAAATATATATATATATATTCAACCACACACACACACATACACAAAATGCTGCAGGTATGAGATTTTTTTTTTTTTTAAATGTGATACCTTAAAATATTTTGTGACCAAGACTCTATATCTTCATGATTAAGACAACACAGAATTAGCTGTTGTCTTTCGGGCTGTGGAGTGAGGAGACATTGGAAAGAGGTCGTTAAACTTCCTGCCATTGTCAGACCCGACTCATAGTGACCCCTCCTTGGGTTTCCGAGGCAATTTCACTACAGAAGTAGATTGCCCCATCTTCCTTC